GAGTACATTTCTCATGCCAAGAAATGTTCACACACTGTTTGGCAGGAAAAAACAAAAAAACAAAAACACAGCCTCACTCTGGAAGTTTCTATAGTGACCTTGTCAAACCAATTAAACTTGTGAAGTAAATACAGCAGGAGTTGGCAACCTATCCCTACAAAAATATCTGCGTGGAGCTTCAAAATACATTTGGGACTTATAAAGGGACGTAACACAGTCTATTAGGTACAAATGAGCCCAAAAGGTGCAAATAATTAAACTATTTTACCACATGACTAGTCTGCAGGGGGTGAAAATACAAAACACAATCATTTTCTTTAGAAGTTGAGGAAAAATAGCTACTGCTTAAAACTGACCAGCTAGAAAGTTACGTCGGCTCTGAGTCCTGCCTGTGTTTGTGCAATGATTTTGATTAAAATTAACCCACAATGATAATGAATACAACACTTTAGAAGTGTACCAGCTGCAAAATCAGATTTTTGCTTGATTTGGACTCCAGTCCAGCAGCAGACCAAGCAGGCCAGTAGGCCAGCAGTAACATAAGCTTTGATGCACATTTTAGTTTGCAGAATACTAGTTTATTACGATACTATTAGCTTATTGGTGTATAGGCTGCATATTACTACATTTTGAGAATTTAAAGAATCACGTGCAACAACAATAAATCAAAAATGTAAATGTTTATGGAGATCGACAAAAGGATTTGCATGTGGCTCCGGAGCTGCAGGTTCAGATCTCTGTCCTACCGTCCAGAGCAGGTCCTGGTAGCGGATGAGGAGCCTCATAACATCCGCCGCCTTCTCCGCCTGTCCTTTCTCTCCACCCTCAGTTAGTCTGCTTGGGACGGCCTTATGCAGGAACAGGTTGGGAGCCATGATGGTTGCGACGGCCCACAAGTTCATCCTGTTCTTCTTTTCCTTGGAGACCACCTTACTGAGGAACTCCAGCAGAGCCTAAAGCAAACACGGATGCAGATACAGGTTTCCTTTTGTTAAAGCTCGGAGCTTTAATGCACTGATCTATTGCTAAATGTCTTTCAAAAAGAAAAGAGAGCACTTAGATGCAGGACAAAATACGATGAAGTGAATGATTACAGTGAATGAATCATCTGCAACACCTCTGCTGAGAAGTATGCTAATGCACAGAAAGTTTCAGCTGTGACGCTGGAGTCAAAGTAATTAGTTCAGGTGGCTTTTAAGCTCCTGGTCGCTATAAATGGAGATGACTGCATACTTGTGTTTAGTGAAAATGAGTCATGGTTAATGCAAGCGGTTATATAACAGAGCAGAGTGTTTAAAATGTGGAATAGGAGCAGAGCAATACAGTAATGTGTTATGAAACAGTGCTTTTGGTCAAGTGTCATCCTGGATACATTTGTGGAAAATCTAAGTAGAGTCTGTAGAGTGTGACATGAAACGTGGCAGAGCCTGTTGTTCACAAGTACAGTTTTAACACCTGGGGTCGTTCACAAATTCTGTAACATTCATGTAGTGTTTTACACTTTGAACTTGGCTCTGAAACTTGGAGATCTTCTTCATGTGCATGCAAGTGAAAGGAACAATGTAACACTACAAAAACACTTGAAACTTGATTAACATTAAAAGATGAATTCAATGCAGAAGGTGGTTTAGTATCATCTTGATAAAAAATAAAATAATATAAGGCTTTTCCCGAGAAAGAGAGAATCCTTAAATGTATTTACTGTTCAGTAGAGATGGGCAGTAACGGGTTAATAGTAACGCTTTACAGTAATCCGATTACTTTTGTCAAGTAACGAGTAAAGGAAGGGATTACTATTGCAAAAAAGGTATTTAGATTACTGTTACTTTCC